CTCGGCCACTCCCATAGTAGAGGCTCTTACGGGCAAAAAGACGTGTTTTCTGCTACGAGTTTAGAGACCTAACCGCTAATTGGACACAATAGTATGATGTCTAAGGATCGATAATATGTTAAGAAGTATAAATTTGGCCTTATTAGTCACGTGCTATACCAATGCGCGTTTTAAACTTTGACAGTCTATTACTCTAAGGCAAATAGAGTAATTATATTCATATTTTGTCAGCAATAAGATCACATTATTTTCTATTTGGTGTGAAAATATGAGCTAGAACGGACATAATCTCGCTGAGTTATAGCTGTTTGAAATTTATGATGAACGCGCGGGTGCCAATTGATAACAACTAAATGCTTTTGCGCGTAGTGCGCGTCGAAAATTTGGCAAAAACGCTTGCGGAGTGACAATATTCAAACTTCGATAAAGTATATGGAGTGGGTACTTCTCGGAAAGGAAAAATTTAGGCAAACACGATGTGACTATTTTTGGATTGATTTAATACAACTGCAAAACATTATTCAAACTTCAAGCAAAAAAGTCAAAATTTTTACCACTTTTTTGGATTTTTACCCCCAAAAAAATAGAGGGATTTTTCAAATTTTTATATCATCTTGTGCGGCTGTTTTTTAGCTATCTCCATGCAAGTTTTGCCGACATGCCAACAAAATTAACTTGTTCAAAATATCAAAAAACATGGTTTTTTGGCCTATTTTTTGGCCAAAAATCGGTTTTTTGCGATTTTACCCCCAAAAAGTCAGTCTAATCATCTTAAAACTACTTTTAATCGATACTACGGTCAAAAATACGTCTAGTAAGGTGTATCTGGGGTCCCTAGCGTATCGAGCAGACAATGCCCGTAAGAGCCTTTACTACCAGGGGCCACTCCCACTGAAAATCCAGGCCAAATTGCAAAAATAGTCAAACGAACTGCTCCTGCGATTTTGCGGAACAAATGCTACTTTATTTTGTACACGATTGTAAATTTGGTACGTTGTCCTGAATCGTAATTCCTTTCTAGATAAAATTTCCAAATGGAACTCTCAGCTAGCCTCAGTACGCTAGTACCTATAAAAGGCTAAACGGTTTCATTAAATTTCTGTGCAAGAAGACTGGCTGCCAACAAATATTTTACTTTGTTATAGAATAGCATTGAAATGTGATCAAGTTACCATTCTCTTAAACCCTGTCTGACCGCAACATTTTAAAACTAAGGTCCTATTTTTGAAATTCGATTTCCTTGTTATTTGTGTGAGAATCAGTTGCAAAAGTTCGGGTTAACTGTTGTTGTTTTTCAGTGCTGTTCATTGTTTAAATTGAAAAGGAAACCACGTACAAAATACAATGTGAATGACGTACTCCTAGTATTACTATTAGTAACTATTAGTAACTACTAGCAGGAACCCGCCTAACCCTAAAGTGGTGTCAATACTCAAGAGACTAAAATAGTAGTCTCTTGAGAGTTGACTTTTCAATTTTTGTGTACTATTTAAATTTTCAATTTTACAATGTTTAAAATTTCTCAAAAAGTTTATTAATATTTGAGGTCAAATGAAACCATACTTTAGAAGGACACACAATCAACTATGATTGGACTTTTCTTATAAATTTCGAACATTCAGTGTAATTCTACTGCAGTTGTAAGTTCGATAAACTATTGTGTATTTGTAAACTATAGAGTATAGTTAATAGTTTATAATTATATATTGGTTTCAAAACCCTTATGGGTACTGGAAAACAACAGTTTACAAAAAAAATCAATAGTATACTTACTGTTAAGTTGTTTCATTTCGGTAAATAGTCGTGCAGTTAATTGCCCATTTTCCATAATCCAATATTTTATGTGGGCAATGATTTCTCCCTTCCCCGCGATTTCTTTGTTTCTCTTTTCCCCTTTTTTAATTTTAGCGCTGCTCCAACCTTGTGCAATTACAATAGTAATACCTAGTTACCAAACAAATACGGGGGCAATTAACTCAAGTTAAACTCCCTACTCCTCCACGTAGAGGGCCCCCGATGGGACACGTGAGTCTGAGTAACACTGTTTTACCAGAATCACCTCAGTAAAATCAGTTCAGTTCTCACACGTTCACTATGAATTCCTCTTTTATCTTACAATTTACCTGGGGACCTTGTTGGGACCTCTTTCATCTATACCTAGCAGGAACCCGTATAACCCTAAAATTGAAAATGGTGTCAAGACTCAAGTGACTAAAATGATTATTACCTATTAAATTCGCGTTTTTGACACCACTTGGGGATCCAAATTTTGGGCTCTAAAATTCCTATTTCTAGTTGGCCATTTTTTTTAAATGCTGATCTGAAGGCCGTTAAAGCATTTGACCCAGTCAAAAAAGTTTCAGTTGTATATCTTTTATGGTTTTTGCGGAAATTCGCGTTTAAGTTGTTGCCGTGGTGTCAGTAAAATGGTACGTATAAACATATATATACCGTTTCGCTTTATACAGTAAGATTAATAACTATTAGTAACTATTAGTGACTGTTATACAAGTAGTTAATTTGAAAAACCATTATTAATATCATTACTACTTAGTTAAGAATATGTCGTATTATCATTTAATTATTACGATGAAGGATTGACCGTAATCCTGTTATATTACGGTGGGGGGGGGGGGTGCGGAAATGGGGAAATGTTCAAATCCTCAGCCCGCTTTCCCCATAACATTATTTCCCCATTTTTCCACATTGGCTCCCCGCTATGGTCATACGTTCCTGGTCAACTAGTAATAATATTAAATACATAATGTTAAATACATCAAGTTCAACAGCTGGCAACCCACTGTAAGTGTAAAGCTGCACATTGAAAAAACCCTTATCTTATCACTTACTTAACGTACGCATTTGTTACCTCTGATCTCTTCAGTCTTCAGGTACCACTTATTTTGAATCTTTGCAGTTGATGTACTAGAACTAGTTTTTTGAACTAAGGGTTATTATTAGGACCCCAGTTAAACCAAATGTGATGGTTCAATTAATTTCCAAATCGGGCTTGCAGTGTAACTTTTACTGTTGGAAATGGAATCGAACAGGAACTTGATTATACTTATAGAAAGAGATCTATTTTGACGAAGAAAATAACCTGATCTAATCGTAACATTTTGTCCAACCTTTAATCAGCAAAAAATTCGGCAAAATGATAATTTTTGTAGAGGATTTTATGTGAAGGACGCACGGTAAACTTAATTTAACAGTGAGAATTAAAGAAACTTTCGAGTTTTTGACTAAATCTTGTAAGAAAATAAAGGCTGCAGATTACTTCCACAATCCTTAGCATATTCGGTCAGGGACTTTTGTCCATTTTGTCCCGACCCATTTCTTGTCATTAAAAGTCAGCATTCAACATTCCTCACCCCCTTACACTAGGTATCGACCCGAAAGAAACCCAAAGAGATTTTGACAGCATGTGTGATTGATGTAATTAATCGAAACTTATTACGATTCGTAAGCCGAGAATGAATGGGAAAAGCGAGCGATCGATTTCATTCTCGATATAATTTTGCATTTACGGACGGTCATTCAAATTAAATTTGATATCATCTTCTTTTGTTTGGGAAAGAGAGACACCGGCAGCGGTCCACTCTACCCAATTATGGGTTTTGGTCAAATATTTTAATCATTAATATGAAAATAACTGAAGGACGCACGGATAAGGTCACTGGTACTGTTTACCGGGCAAATAATCCGACAAATTGTTTTCTTTAGCGTTTTAAAGTCTATCGATTATCGAATAGAATTTTAGAAATGATAGTAATGAAGTATGAACTGACTACTAAGATATAAAATATTATTATACAAATTTGCTCTGGATGCACTGCAATACGAATACAATAAAAATGAATACACAGTATTCTAAGGCCTACTAGTAGTGAAGTACTAGTAGTGAAGTACTAGGCTTTTGAATACTGTGTATTCATTTTTAGCAGATTGAGTTAAGACTGGTTTGAGTGACCAGTGCTAGACTAAAATGTAAAAGTAAAATGTATACTGAGTATCGACAATTACACCGATCACATGTTTTATGATAGTCATAATCAGTTATCAGAGATTAAGGAAGTATTTTATATTCAGACGCAATTAAACTACCGGACCACGATGTATGGGGACTTGCTAGACCCATGGCAACATTAAAATATATCGACTCTGTTTTTACGTTTCCTGTTAATATAAAACTCTGTTACGAATTGAACTGATGGGATGTGACAATACTAATTCTACACCTTAGTTCAATAAAATATGATAAGTAATGTATAACTAGTAATGTAATTATATCACATTTACAATTCCACATTCCACCGAATCTCTATTCGGCTGTTTATGAACATTATAGCTTGGGGTCGCCAGGTAAAATTAAAAGCGTTCATGTAATCTTGTTAGTTCTTCTTACCCGATACTCATCGCGAAAACTGATACCTTTTATTTAACTTCGTAAACGTCAAAGTACGTACTCTCCGTCTGCTCGAATACCTCTCATTTCCCTTTCATTCAATCTTTAAGCTCGTCCTTTTTTAATTTTGTGAATCTTGTAAACAACTTTCATCATTGCGGATCGATTTTACTTGAAACTTCGACTTGTGTGTACGTGTGCAAGCCGGTGGAGTTCATTTTGTTCTATTTTTGGAGTTTTTACAAATGCCGTTTTGTTCATCTCCAGTTTGTGAAGTTTGCGGAAAAATTCACATCATTGCAGTATGTGCAATTGAATTAAGGTCACATACATAAGTATAAATTTGAACGGGTCCCTCGTACAATGCGCACTATACTAGTAGTACTAGTACTAGACTGCACTACTAATACTATTACAGCTACACTTACACTACTATTCCACACACGTCACGTCACTGGTCACGTACAAAAACAATGGATATTGTGAGTCAGGTGAAGATGAATCACGTACGTTTACATTATTTTCATAATTTATTCAAAAAATATCATATGAAACACCCAATTCCACTAAACTCAATTAAACTTATCTAATGTACGACATATTACAAGTCTAACCATGGCTGACACTACGGACTACGAGAAGCTCACAACAGAGGAAAGTTGGGACGAAACAGACCGGAGAATCACACAAATGGGATTTTTTGGCTGGAGACCCCGTTTTTTGGAGTGTCTCAATAAACCAGCCATTTTCGCGGGATTCTTCGCCTTTGGAAACTTCTTCATGGTCATGACGTATGGGATCTTGAGCTTGGTTATACCGATAATTGAATCAGTTTACAATCTCAACTCAAAGCAGACTGGTGTTATCTTCATGGCGAATGATATCAGCGGGACTATTGTAGCCCTGATGATAGGCAACTACTGCAGTGCAAGGAAAGTCCGGTGGATTGGTCTAGGAATGCTGGTTGTCTTCATTTCAGCTGTCATTCCTGCATCAACCGCAATTTTAGCTGAATACCCACAACCAACAATTCTCTCCAAAATTGACCTGGTGATAGAGCAGAATCAAACAGTTCATGTTGAAAATGACAGATTTGGCGTATGCAAAGAGGTTCATACAACTAAACAAACGACCGGAACCCCAAATGAATCGGAAGGTTACGCAGTCAGGAACCACAAATACTTTTGGATGTTTGTTCTCGGTTCCCTGCTTCAAGGGGTTGGAAACGCACCCCCAAGAATCGCTGGGGCTACCTACATGGACGAGATATTCACCCAAAAACAGTTCGGGGTGGCGATCTCCTTCCTCTACGTTGTTTCTTTTTTAGGCTACCCAATAACGATGATATTGGGAGGTGTATTTCTCCAGTACTACGTCACCTTGGATCCTCCAGAGGGTGTCACCCTAGGGAGCAAAGAGTGGGTAGGAGCCTGGTGGATGGGCATGTTCTTCCCTTCAATTCTCGTCTTTGTTTTCAGCTTCATCGTGCTGCTTTACCCCAGACAAATGCCCGCGGCTAAAAAAGTTCTACAAGAAAAAGTCCGGAAAGGCATCACCACAGTGTTAGAGAAGAAAGAGGAGTTGGGGAGATCTTTTATAGAAATCACAAAAGATACGATACCGGCTCTCAAAAGACTTATTCGAAATCAAGCTTTGACTTGCTTGATTGTGGGTGATATCTTCTACTTTCTATCAGTTGGCGCTTACAGTTATTACCCGAAGCTGTATGCCAAGATTTTCAGACTCAACTATAAAGCGGTTGGGAGCATTATGGGTATCTCAAGCATGATTGGATTCGGCATTGGATTCATTAGCAGTGGGTTCTTGATGAAAATTAAAGAATGGGAACCCAAGCAGCTGCAGCTCGTTTATGCTATCGTTTCGGCGCTAGCCATACCGTTCACCTTTGGTATCCTGATATACTGTCCCACTGAGACGCTAGCCGGTGTGGACGTCTCATACTCAGACGTACTCAACACCACCCAACTTAGCTCCCCCACTCTCATGGACCAGTGTAACTCTGAGTGTGCGTGCTCCACAGCGTTCTACCAGCCTGTGTGTGATGGTGCTGTGACCTACTTCTCTCCCTGTCATGCTGGGTGTAGGGAAGTGGAGGTGGAGGAAGGGAGGGTGGTGTCCTATGTCAACTGCACTTGTTCCCCTTCTAAAACAGCCATGCCGGGGCAGTGTGGCCAGCAATGTCCCACCAGGATGTACATCTCACTGACTATCACCACTATCGGCACTGTGGTTGGGTTTTCAGGGTTCGCAGCTCACGCTTACATCTACCAGAGAGTGGTAAGTGAAATGGACCGGACCTTCACACAGGGCATCAGGTCCTCTGTAATAAGGGCACTGGGCACCTTGCCAGCTCCCGTCATCTTCGGGTGGGTTATCGACAAGTTCTGCACTGTTTGGAGAGTTTCAGAGGATGGAACCACAGGGAATTGTTGGGTGTACGACCTTGATAGGTTGATGTTGTGGTTCACCTTTCTGAGAGTGATGATGCGAACACTGAGCTGTGTTTGTTACTTTCTCTGCTGGTGGGTCTACCCGGAAAGAATGCTGTGGTGGAGGAGGAGGAACTTGACGATTGTAAGAAACAAGATCAGAGTAGTGGGGTTCAACAGGGGGAAGAAGATCAAAATGGCCTCATTCAGAATGGAGACTGATAGATTGGATTATAGTCGGGCGCCCACAGTTGAACTCAGTGAAGTGAAACGTTACTGTCATGGTTATGTTGCTACTTAAGTTTATAAATAGATATTGTAGGAAGGGACTCTAAGACTACTGACTAACTCTGAGCTAAAGCAAAATGCGCCACATTTAATCGTTGATAAAAAGTGATTTGCAGTGACCTTAAATCAATATTGTATCTGTTTGTGTATTATAAGTTTAGTTAGGTTTAAAGGAAAAAGGGAAAATACTGATTGGTGACTCGATCATCGTATTTAATTTTTATTGTCCCATTTTTGATATCTCCTATTATTTTCCGTATTAGGGGTCGTTCACATATTACGTAATCAGCCGAGGTGGAGGGGGATTACGGGGGGAGGGGGTTTGGCTGCTGATTAAGTAATCAAATTTCTTTTCTCACCTTCTAGAATAATAACAATTTGATTCAAATATTTTAATTCAAATTTCACTTAATTTCACTCTGATAGTGATACAATTTAGGAATCGATCGGGTATCCGGCTGCTGAAGTAATTAGCTGGGAAAAATTGCTACAATATTGATTACGTAATATTTGAACTTAATGATAAGTATCAATATCACGAGCAAGTATAACTATGATTAAAAAAATTGCTGGCCACAGTAACATGTTGGTGTTTTTTTAGTTGCTGGTTGATACTTGATTTCGATAAGTCGCAGATTCAGTTAATTTTGTGATCGCACTATGCACTAGTAACCAATTTCAGTCATCGTCTGACATCTAACCGAAGACCATGAGAATGAATAATTGCTTTCCTATAAGTGAAATCTAGTGACCGGAAATCTGGGACCATCTTGGCAACAAATTCACACTAAGTACACTTACAGCATAACTTTAACAGTTGTATGTGCGCACTACTTGAGTGACTCCTAGATAACATCAAACATGGACTTAGGACTATTGGCATCTGGCAAATTGATAATCATGTTACTTAATAAACTTGTTCGGTTTTTAGCATCTCAAGGAATTAATTCGACAACAATGTACAGACGATCAGGAATTGTTAGCTTGCGGTTCGCAATTCTGACTCAATTGACCTGGTATCGGGCACAAGACCGCCAAAATATCTAAAAATCTTTTAAAAACTACAACTCAGCAAACGAAATGAAAGTTGACCCGTAACTTAGGTTTAAATCTTTCTCTAATCTACGTCACATTCGAAATGAAAACAAACCTAATTAAACGAATTTGCAAATCAAAATCTTATCCAATCTTCTGAAAAAATCGTCTAATTCATTACAGTGTCGATGATGCAAAATTAGGTCATTTTGCAGACTAACAGATCTTGTAATTGGAATATTCCGAAAACACACACATACCTCGGATGTTTTCGAGATGTGAAGAGTATTGTGCCGGAATATTAGCTGGTCAGACCGGGTGTGATTAACGTTTTTATTCACTGCTTCTGACGGGTTGTTTTACTTTTCTAAGCTCCTTTATCCCATCCCACCATTACTCTCTAATCACCTGTTCGTTGGACAAATTGAATTTGAAACAAAAATAAAAATCTCCAATTTTCCAAGCCCTAAAAATGTTAGGGCAAACAATAATATAAATTAGCATTACAAATACAAGAAATTACATCATAAACAAAATTATACAAAACTCTGAGCTATGCTCTCGGCTGCGAAGCATCCAAACTAAAATCTATGCGGACTCGGGCGAGTGAGTCCTGTCAGAGTTCGTTAAATTATGGATCATATCGTCCTTGTTGTGACACCGCATCTTGAGCTTGGTTATTCTGTCGTTCAGTTTTGAGATACTCCGATCATGCTCCTCCTCTCGCTCCTGACGAGGATACGGTGTAAGATAACGCCAGTTTGAACATGTTCAACAAGTATGGGTTGTTTTATTTTGAAAAGAAAACTTGAAAACGGATTGTTCATCTTATCAAGTCCAGGATCGATAATGGACGGCAGCTAGATATAATTATTCTGATAGAGGATATACATTCTACCTGTAAAATTTCAGCGCAGGATTTTAGCTTTGCGTTTGCAATTTTCTTGACTTCTTTGACCCTGGTATCGGTGCTATGCTTGTGGGTAGAACGTTTCTGTTTCTCTTGAAGATCAGATATCTGTAAAATCTTTAAAATAAAGCTGTTAGCAACTCACAAATGGAAAATGAAAGTTGACCGTGTATGATTAGGTATGAAAATCTTTCTCTAAATCTATCATCCACAATTCGAAATGGAAAACAAATCCCCAAAATTAAACGAAGTGTTGAGATATTATAATTCTTTACCAAATCTTTCTGTTAAATAAATCAGCTTAAAAATATTAATTACATGACGTGTCTATGAAGCTTAAAAATGTATGCTTTTGAAGACAACAGACTTTTTTTGTGATCTTTGAAATTAAGATTGGCAAAATGAACTTCTCAGCTGTAAAACGACCACAAACCTCGGCAAGTTCGAGTTTGTGAAGAGTACTTTGCTCGGCAATGTTTATAGCCTGAGCTAAGGACACTTTGAGCGTGTTGATTCGTTGCGTTAGTTGCACTGCCTCTCTTTTGTGACGGGTTGAGCTGTGTTGAGCTTTTTCTAGGGCTCCTTTCAGTCCTTTACATTGCCCAACCAGAAGAGATTTATCCTCCTCTAATACCTGGAGTTTTATTTGAGTCTACAGTATACAGTAAAGTGCTTTACAAAACGAATGAACAAAATCACATACTCAGTGCAAGAATTATATTTTGCATCACATTTCCGTTTAAAACCTAAAATCCCCTCACCTCGACGCGTTCAGACAACTGAGCAACTGTTTTCTCCAGTCCCTCCATCTCATCCTCCTTATCATGCACGTTATCATCATATCTCTTTCTCAGCTCTTCCAGAGCTACTTTGTATCCCTCCACCGAGCTCAGGTGAGCGGAGACAGGAACAAAGTCGTCCGCTTGGGTAACTGTGGACACTACAAGGTTAGCGGGTGAAAATCGAAAAATACCAGAATTATTGGCAAATATTGATGACTCCCCGAATATTCCCATCATTAGAATCAAGTTGAAGATAACAAGTGACAAGTATCGACGGATACAGTTTTGATTTCTAACCGATGCTGTTGTACGCCTCCCTAAGCTCTTCATTCCTTCCCTCCAACTTCTCACACCGCTTGAGGAGAGTCGTGTTCTGATCTTCCATGTTTGAACAAGTTGCTCTCATTCTCAAAACCTCCTGGTTTCTCTCCTCTATCAGCTCCTGCCACCGGGCTTCGTTCTGAAGAGGAACAAAACATGTTGGCAAAACTAGGTGAGTCATAATACAAATTACGACTGGACGATATATTTTCTGTGTAGTGCGATTATTTTGTCTGTCTTGGAACTCACAGCTATCATCCAGTTACTGAGTCTAAATAGAGGAGTTTATTAACATGTGTATTTCTTAATCGGATGATTTCGTAGAATAATTCTCCCTGAAGGAAGATTTGAGACGTTGTTCATGGTCTGTTTCAGGGTGAAATTCAGTTAAAGTATGGTTTAATTTTCTCCCTTGGCTCTGCCTGTTACTTAGTTTGACGGCGCGGTGTGTGTCTCCCACATTGCACACAAATACTCAACAATGAGGGTCATTAAATTTAATCCAGCGAGATCTTAATGACGGTATTTAGCAAACGACTCCTGTAATCTTCTCATAAGTCCTTATAGAGATGAAGGAAGTGGTCCAATCAGTGACGTGTCACGAGTCACGTGACAAGATCTGACCAATCGGATGAAGATTGTATGTGAGCCCTATCCGGACAAATGAAATAGCAGTTGAGGAAAACAGATCTGACATGCGCAAGCAAAGAATCATTTTTAAATAGTCGACTTTAGATTCGTAACTCGTAATCGCTAAACTAGCTATCCACCATGGTGAGTTGTCTTGGGAGTTCGGGAATTTTGGCATGAACAACATCTTAAATAGGTTAAACACGGATCACAGCTCTACAGCCGGTTTAGAATCGGTTTAGAACCGCTCAAGATCTGGTCAAGAAACGTTCTAGAGCCGGTTTGACCTATTGGCCGGGAATTCAACACTTTTCAAGACGATGAGATGGTTTTTGAACTCAATAAAGGTGTTCAGCCTTGTAATTACTTCGTGAACTATCCCTCTAATAAGTTATGGACTAGCAATGATCCGTTTTTTTCAGCGTGAATGCATCTCGGTACATCTCGGACAAGCCGGTGTCCAGATCGGTAACTCCTGCTGGGAACTTTACTGCATGGAGCATGGCATCCAGCCTGACGGTCACATGTCTCCTGATAACAACAAAGGGGGCGGTGATGACTCTTTCAACACCTTCTTCAGCGAAACTGGGGCCGGAAAACACGTCCCGAGGGCGGTGTTCCTTGACTTGGAGCCGACTGTAGTGGATGAAGTAAGGACTGGGAAGTTCAGACAGCTCTTCCATCCTGAGCAGCTCATCACTGGCAAGGTTAGCAGATCTAAATTCAAACCTTCAAGACACTATTCATCAATATCTAGGGAAACATACAGCTGGTTTTCGATCAGACTTGCAACTGAATCATACAAGATTCCAATCCTTAGTTTGTAGTAACAAACCATCTCAACAGGAAGATGCTGCTAATAACTACGCTCGTGGTCACTACACCGTAGGAAAGGATCAAGTAGACCTAGTTCTTGACAGGATCAGGAAACTATCCGACCAGTGCACCGGTCTCCAGGGATTCCTCGTCTTCCACTCCTTCGGTGGAGGTACCGGATCTGGGTTCACTTCTCTCCTCATGGAGAGACTCAGTGTGGACTACGGCAAGAAGAGTAAACTTGAATTTGCTGTCTACCCTGCTCCTCAGGTAACGTTTTGTAAACTTAATAAAAATTCAATTCTATAAAAGTCCCCACAGCTGGATAGATTGGTACGATCAGAGTAGTAATAATACCCTAGTAATTGAGGATAAAACAATATGTTTGTTTCAGGTATCAACAGCAGTAGTTGAACCTTACAACTCAATCCTAACAACCCACACCACCCTCGAGCACTCCGACTGTGCCTTCATGGTCGACAACGAGGCTGTTTACGACATCTGCCGACGAAACCTGGACATTGAACGACCTAGCTACCCAAACCTGAACAGACTCATGGCACAGATTGTATCCTCCATCACTGCTTCTCTCCGATTTGATGGTGCTCTGAACGTTGATCTTACTGAGTTCCAGACTAACTTGGTTCCCTACCCCAGAATCCACTTCCCTCTGGCAACCTACGCTCCTGTTATCTCTGCAGAGAAGGCTTATCATGAACAACTCTCTGTTCAGGAAATAACAAGTGCTTGCTTCGAACCCAACAACCAGGTTAGCATATTTAACAACATTGCAACCAGTATCCTGGTCAGATTGTGAATAATATACAGTAGTTATAATGTTTTCAACTCTTTCAGATGGTAAAATGCGACCCCCGACACGGCAAGTACATGGCTTGTTGTCTTCTCTTCCGTGGAGACGTTGTCCCCAAGGATGTGAACGCTGCCATCAGCACCATCAAAACCAAGAGAACTATTCAGTTCGTCGACTGGTGTCCCACCGGGTTCAAAGTTGGCATCAACTACCAGCCACCAACTGTTGTCCCAAATGGCGACCTCGCCAAGGTACAGAGAGCTGTCTGCATGCTGGCAAACACCACCGCCATTGCTGAAGCCTGGGCTCGTCTTGACCACAAATTCGACCTGATGTACTCCAAGAGAGCCTTTGTCCACTGGTATGTTGGAGAAGGAATGGAAGAGGGTGAGTTTGCTGAGGCTAGAGAGGATCTGGCTGCTCTGGAAAAGGACTACGAAGAGGTTGGTACTGAACAGGGTGCGGAGGATGAGGGAGATGCTGAAGAGGAAGAAGAATACTAAACAACTACCGTCAATATCACGTGACAGACGACGCCACGCGTTCTGTTACGAGACTCAATCCTTTGTTGCTCTTTAAATGTTCTGTTTTGCCTGTTTTACTTGTGTCACGTAAATTTGTTAAAATTGCTTTTGTTCCCAGCTTGTGATGTTTTGTAAACCCCACTATATAAATGTTTTTATTTTCTTTCAAGAATCAACTAATATAAATAAACTTCAACTAAATGATAAACTAGCTAAAATTAAGCTCAAAATACAAATTAAAAGGTTCAAATGTTCCTGACAGTTTAAAGGTGCCCCAAGGGTATAAATCAAGATAAAAGTAGTATCTCACCATTTGTTGCTCCTTAATGAGGATGCGGTTCTCTTGAAGGACTTGTTGAGCCTGCTTTTGGACAGTCTCCACATCTTGTGCACTTTGTTCGGACACCAACTTCTTTAACCTTGAGTTTTCTGACACTATCTTTAATGCCTGATTAAAATGCACAGCTTTTAATGATATGAAAGTCGCTAGATAATAATGTTAGGTGATGAACAAGAATCTTTGTTAATAATAAACTTAAAATATTTGATATCAGAAATACATTATATGTACACTATGTATGTGTATACATATGTACAATATTATACATGTGTACAATATGTACGCATGTAGAATAACCTGATCTCTGAACTGGAGGATCTTCTCCTCGTATACACTAAACCGTTCCTCTGGACTGAGCCCATCCATATTAGAAAGTTCTGGAAGATCGATAACATCTCTGGAATTGGGAGGAGTGGGCATTCCCAATGTCGCTGCGAGGTCTCTCTGAAGAAGAGGGAATATTGAAGAAATTTCAGAGTTGTTTAGGTTTTAAATAAGTCGAAATTGAACTTGAGTCTTCAATCATTTCTTGAATACCGAGGCTTGCTTATTTGGATTTAGGAACGTTCAATACCTTAAGTATTTCGGGAGTGACAACTCTGAAGACTTTGTCAACTGCCCCGGCAAAGCTGATTCTCTTTTCCTTACGGGGAGAGGGACCAGGCGTGACTAATATTGAGGACCGCCTCGGGCTGGATTCATCTTCTTCTTCATCCGAACTGAGAGCATATGGGTAAGATAAAT